ACTTTTTACAGGTGTACAACTTATTGACAGAAATTACAATAATTGGCTGTGCAGTGCAATTTTTTTTTTTTTTTTTTTGTCACCATAAGCTGACTTCACTTTCCCTCTCTCCTGCCCCTGATTACCACTAATAAACTTTGGTCTCTATACATTTCCCCTTTCTTGTCTTTATATAAGTGAGGCCATACAATATTAGTCTTTTTGTGGTTGACTTACTTTGCTCAGCAAAATATCTTCAAGCTCTATCTACACTGTAACGTATCAAGACTGCATTTCTCCTACTGACTGAGTAGTGGTATTCCATTGTAGGTATGTGTCACATCTTGTTTATTTATGCATCTGCTGATGGGTGTTTAGGTTGTTTCCACCTTTTGGCTGTGGTGAATAGTGCTGCATTGAACACTGGTAGACAAATCTGTTTGATTCTCTACTTTCTTTCAAGTCTTTTGGGTCTGTGGAATTGCTGGGTCATTTGGTCGGTATTTTCATTTTTTTTGAAGCTTTTATAGTACTGTTTTCCACAGTGGCTGTGCCATTTTACATTCCTGCTAACAATGGATAAGGGTTCCAATTCTCCATCTCATTGCCAATATTTGTTACGTTGTTTTAAAAAGTCTTAGACATCCTACCCCTAAATCAAACCCAGCCCACTGCCATACTGTTAATTCTTACTCATAGTGACTCTGTATAGGTTCTCCAAAGCTTTAAATTTTTATGGGAGCAGAAATTCTCATCTTTCTCCTGAGGAGCGGTTTGAACTGTCAACCTTGTGGTTAGCCATTCCAGTGATTATCATACAGTGTCACCAGGAGTGAAATAGTATTTTACTGTGGTTTTGAATTGCATCTCTAATGGGAGTCCTATGGAGTCCTGGACCACAAGGCCGGTTTGAACTGCAAGTTCGGCAGTTTAAATTCACCAGCCTCTCCTCAGGAACTCTATACAGGGCCACTATGAGTTGAGTCAGCTCGACAGCACTTAACAACAAACAACAAATGTGAGTCCTGGTGTGGTGCTGTAGGGTAAGCATTAGACCACAAGGTCGATTTGAACTGCACAGTGACGGTTCAAAACTCACCGGCCGCTCCTCGGAAACCCTAGACAGTGTTGCTATGAGTTGGAACCGACTTGCTGACACTTAACAACAACAGTGGGAGTTTGGTGTGGTGCTATAGGATAAGCATTTTCAAGGTCTTTTGAAATGCAAAGGTGGCAGTTCAAATTCACCAGCCCTCATCAGAAACCTTACACAGGGCTGCTATGAGTTGGAACCCACTGGATGACACTTATCAACAACATTGGGTAATAACGCTGAGTATCTTTTGATGTGTTTGGTGTCCATTTGAATGTCCTCTTTTATATTTTTGTCATTAGATTCTTGTTGGATATGTTGTTTCTGGAGCTATATATTCCTCTAGTCAATAGCTTGTTTTTTGGTAAAGTCTTTTGATGAACATAAGTTTTTAATTTTTACGAGCCCCATTTATTAGTCTATTGTTTATGCTTTCATTATTATATTAGATAATCCATTTGTTGAAAGTAGACCTTCAGGCATTGCCCTGATTGTTCCTGTAAGAATTTAATGGTTTTAGTTTGCACATTTAGGTCCTAATCCAATTGGAATTTGTTTTGTGTATGTTGTGAAGCAAGGATCCTCTTTTATCTGTATGTGGAAATCCAATTTATTGAAGAGACTCGTCTTTCCACATTGAATGGTTTTAGCACCGTCATCAAAAATTGTTAGACCATAGATTGTAGACTCATTTCTGAACTCTCAGTTCTATTCCATTTGTCTATATGTATATTATTAAACCAGTACCAGGCTGTTTTGATTAACGTAGCTATATACTGTGTTTTAAGGATCTTTGGTAGCGTAGTGGTTATAAGTTGGGCTGTCAACCTCATAGTCAGCAGTTTGAAACTACCAGCTGTTCCATGGGAGAAAGAGGACGTTTTCTGCTCCTGTTAAGATTTATAGCCTTGGAACCCTATACAGGGTCGCTATGAGTTGGAAACAACTCCACAGCACGTAACCACCACTACCACCATACTATGCTTTAAAGTTGGGAATTGTGAGTTTTTCTCCAATGTTCCACATAAAGTTGAGGATTGGTTTTGCTGTTTCTGTAAAGAAGGCAGTTGAGGGTTTGATTGGAATTGTGAATATAGATTGCTTTGGATTATATTGACATCTTAACAATACTGAGTCTTTCAATTAATGAACATAGAAATCTCCCCATTTATAAGGACAAGTAAAAAGGTATTGTTACAAAAATCATAGAAACCCTTTTGAAACAAAACTACCAAAATGTGTACATCTATAGACTTCTGATGTGGCACTGTGGATTAAAGCGCTGGACTACAAAGTCAGTTTGAACCACACAATCAGTGGTTCAAATTCACCAGCTGCTTCTCAGAAACCCTATACAGAGTCGCTATGGGTCGGAACCGACTCTACAGCACTTAACAACAACAACAACACTAAACTTCTGAAGGCAGTGTTTTCATCTTACTAACACTTCTCCAAAGAATTCTGTGCTCTTCACTTTACACTACATGAAAACAGCAGTTTTAGTATCCTCAAGGGAAACAAATCATGCTCCTTTTTAATATTCTTTGAATTTGGGGAATAAAAAGAAGTTAACGGGGCAGTGGAGTCCTGGTGTGGGTTAATTCACTGGACTACAAAGTCTGAACTTCAAGGTCGGCATTTCAAGATCACCAGCCACTCCTCAGAACCCCTATACAGGATTGTTATTTTTTGGTGGAACTGATTCCATGGTACTGGAACAATAAGAGCAACAACAACAAAGGGGCAATATCAGGACTGGAGAATGGATGAGATTAAATTTTCCCAATGAAATTCTCATAAGATATCCATGTTGTTGTTGTTGTTAGGTGCCATCGAGTCGGTACCAACCCATAGCGACCTTATGCACAGCAGAACAAAACACTGCCTGATCCTGGGCCAATCTCACTACTGTTGCCACACTTGAGTCCATCGATGCTGCCACCTGGCCAATCCATCTCGTTGGGGGTCTTCATCTTTTTCTCTGACCCACTATCTTACCAAACATGATATCCTTCTCCAGTGACTGGTCCTTCCTGACAATATGTCCGAAGTATGAGAGACGAAGTTTGGCCATTTTGGCCTCTAAGGAGCATTCTGGCTTCACTTCTTCCAAAACAGATCTATTGCTTCTTTTGGCAGTCCATGGCACTTTCAATATTCTCCTCCATAGCTACCCTTAAAACGAGCAGGTACATTGTTGTAATGGAAAAAAGTTCTTCGCTGCAACTTTCCTTTTTTCCTCAAGTAATGCAGTTTGCAATTTTTTAAAAACTTTGTTCTTTCTCAGTGTGGATAAAGGTTTGTCAGTTTTATTTATCTTTTCAAAGTACTAACTTGTGGTCTTGTCGGTTTTGTTTTTCTGGTTTTGATTTTATTTATGCTCTGGTCTTAATTCCTTTGTTTCCCCCTGGTATTTAGCATTAGTTTGCTCTTCTATATAGGTATTTATACTGTTTTGGCACTTCAGGATAATGCACTGGACCAGGAAGTCAGTGGTCAAACCCACCAGCCATGCCTCGGAATCCCTATACAGTGTCACTATGAGTCAGAACCAACTTGATGGAACTTAACATTTATTGCTAAGGAGCTCTGGTAGCGTAGTGGTTACAAAGTGGGCTGTGAGCAAAGGTCAGCAGTTCAAAACTACCAGCTGTTCTGTGGGAGAAAGATGAGGCTTTCTGCTCCCATAAAGATTTACAGCCTCGGAAACCCTGTACAGGGTTGCTATGAGTCGGAACCGATTCCACGGCACATCACAACAATATTTATTGCTAGAAGTTTCACTCTGAATAATGCCTTTACCACACCCCATACATTTGTTGTGCTTTCATTTTCATTTTCTTCTTAGAAATTTGTGGTTTCTCCTTTTACCCACTAGTAGCTTAATAGTGTAATTAGTTCCATGTGTTTATATTTTCTAGGTTTTATTTGTTGATTTCTAGCTTCTCTCCATTGTGGTCAGAGGAATTAATTTGTGTGATTTCAGTGTTTTTAAATTGATCAGGCCTTGCTTTATGACCTAACATGTGGTGTGTCCTGGAGAATGACCCCTGTGCACTGGAGTAGAATGCATGCTGTGCTGTTTGGGTGGAGTGTTCTATACTTGTGTGTTAAGCCTATTTGGTGTATGATGTCACTCAGGTTTTGTGTCCTTGTTGATCTTCATTAGGTTTTCAATGGCTGTGAATTTTTAGAAGTAGAATGCTAAGCCTGTATCCAAGATGCCAGTAGATAAACTTGAACTGTCAACCTTTAATTTCATAGCTGAATGCTTAATCATTTGTGCCACCCAAGGTTACCTGAAATCCTCTTTTTAAAAAAACACCTCAAAACAAACCCACTGCTGTGTTGATTTCGACACGTTGATCCTATAAGACAGAGTGGAAGTGTTCCGTAGGGTTTCCAAGGCTATAACTCTCTATGGAAACAGACTGCCCCACCTTTTTCTTGCTAAATAGCTGGGAAGTGGAGAGTTCAAACCACCAAGCTTTTGGTTTATAACCAAGTGCTTTAGTCACTGTACTATTGGGCTCCCTTAATTCCTCGTCTAACTTGTCCTGGCAATAAGTGCAGAACATGTACCTACTTGAACTTATCCTCCACACACATAAATGCATGCACATTTATAGGGGTGTGGCACTGTAGGATCAGCACTGTACTGTTAACCACAAGGTTGGTGGTTCAAACCTACCAGCTGCGCCTAGAAACTCTATACTGGGTCCCTATGAGTCAGAAGTGACTCAAATGCACTTAACAACAGCCACATTTGAAAGGGGATTGTGCTGATAGTTAAAAGAAATCCAGAATGATTTTCTGCTTGCTTAGGTATTTCCTCGTTATTTAAAGCCTTGAGGTATATCTGTGTTCAGATGTTGAGAAAATGAACTTGATGAACCTGTTGTTTACTCTTGATTTTTTTTTTTCCCAGGAAACCTAAAGATTTTTCGTGATGATGTTGTGTTCTGGGTGACCTTCTCTTGTATAGCTGTTATTATTCCAGTAGTTTTCATGGGCTGCCTAAGAATAGTAAGTATTTTATCAGAAGGTATGTTTATTCGTTATGTTGTCCTTGGCCTTCAGTTGATCATTTTCCATATTCTAGTCTCTGGGGATGGCTGATAATTTACATGATATTGATTCTAAACAGCCTTATTACTGTGAAAGCAAGAGAAGTTCTATTCATGCTTAGCACAGTGTGTTTTTTTTCAATCTAGTTGAGCAAGTCATCATTGTTGATGAGTTTCTAGCAGTGGAGGCAGAGAAGGTAGGGCTTTCTAGAATGCTACCACTGGATGGATTATTACTTTCTGCTACCTCTAGAAGAATGGTCCTTCATCTAATTAGACTTGAGTTTTGAAGTTCTTTCACCAGGAATATATTTTCTATAATTTAATTTTTTTTTCAATCAAGTATGTTTTAAAACATCATGAATATAGAGGAGTGTTTTCAGTTATGTTTGTTAGGTAATCTTTCATTTAGAAAGAACTGGCCCCTTTTTATGTGACTGAGTGATTCTGTATCATTGAGGCCATAGATGAGCAAAGATATATTTTGGGGGGACAAGGGGTGGTCTTCCTAATACATTTTGATTTCTTTTTTATTATGTTTAGAGAAGATATACAGACAAGTTTTAAATACACTTTGCTTCATCTCAATGATTGCAATCCCATCCGTGAAACAAGTCATCTGCTTCCTCCTTGGCTCCTATTTCCTTCCACTCACCTTCCCATACTACAGAGAAGATACTCTTCAGGCATGATGTCTAAATTCTTTCACTCTTCCACAGCTGAACATACTCACTTGTGGAATCATTGGCTCCTATTCAGTGGTTTTGGCTACCGACAGTTACTTATACACGAGCCTTTCCTACGTTACTTTAAATGTACTTAAGAGAGCACTCAACGTGGATTTCCGCAGAGCTTTCACAAATGTGCCTTTTCAAACTACCGGTAAGTCGCTAAATCCAAAAACCAGAGTGATGGTTACTTAGGACTTTAGATTCTCCTGTGCTAACTAGAGCACAAAATAACTTAGACTGAATGAGGGCAAGGGTGACAAAAGGAGAAAGCTTACATCATACAAATGTGAAACCCTTTGTTAGGGATCTGAGGCAAATAATTTAAACTGGTATGTAGTTGAAGTTCATACTTTAGAAAAAGAGTAATTGAACTTTGTTAATGGAATTCTAAACCAGGATTATATAGATTTACCTGGTCAATTCTCAGTTGTGGAAAAAAATGCTTGACAATAAAGCACTTGACACTTACAGATAGGGATGGGATAAGGAATATGAATGACGTGATTTTTTTAAGGTACTCCCTTTCTTTGTCTCCTTTAATTAAGCACTTTGCTGACTGAAGGTGAGTGATTTTCAGTCAGTTATGTGTTTCTCCAATTCTGTTGTCATAGTTTATTACAGTGTAGTGGCTTCTGGGCTTCCATGATGTGCATGTATGTGCAGTTTACCTAGCTTACTGCTGCCTTCTCCATCCCCTCTGGAAAAACACAACAAATGACTGTGTTACGGGCATTGTTAATATGATGTTGGAATGATAAGGACTCATACGAATGACTGTTTTACAACCTGTCTAAACTACGTGATTCCTAGTTTCAGTTTTAAATCACTGAAAAGGCTGCAAGTCTTTTATTGTACTAAAGTGAGGCTAAATAAGAACCATATGTACCTGTTCTGACCCATCTATAAATTTACTTAAAGATATAGGAATGGATCTTGTTCATAACTGGGAGACTGCCTGTATATTGTGAATTAAGTCAATAGAAAGTCTGATCTGATTGAGAAAGCATGACACAATCTTAGGCCATGAAGGGAATAAGTGTTAAATCTATAATACATTTAAAAATACAGGAGTTGAAACTGCTCTTCTGATTTTTATCTTCTTTTTAGACTTTATTATCCTGGCATTATGGGGGATGCTGGCAGTAAGTGGAATTACATTACAAATTCGAAGAGAAAGAGGTCAGCCGTTTTTCCCTCCCCACCCTTACAAGTTATGGAAGCGAGAGAGAGAACGCAGAGTTACGAACATTTTGGATCCTAGCTACCACATTCCTCCATTGAGAGAGAGGATATATGGCCAGTTAGCCCACATCAAAGAGTTCTTCCAGAAAGAACAGTCAGCTGGAGAGAGAACGCCCCTACTTCTGTAGATGCCCAGTGACTTGGTCTTTGTGATCTTGAAGTATGACTTGAGCCGTCTCAGATATGGTGTTTATCTCCAGATAGCAATCATCATGACTGCAAGTCTAAGAGCAGAGCAGACTACAGGTCTGTTTTCCACCATATTACACTTTATTGCTACAAGGTATGTATGTTAAGGAAATTAGTGGGGAGTGAGAGACAGAAGAGATGGTCAAGAAGTTGATGAGAGAAGTTTTTGGTTTTTTTTTTTGAAAGTGCTCAAGAAGTTGCCTTTTAGTAAATTCTGAAATTATCTTTGGAGTTAAAATTAACTTATTCTATTAAATAGAACACTAAAAAATAAAAACAAAAACATATTGTGATTCTCATGCAGGGCCCTGGTATGAAAATTTCTCTTACCTGTTGAAGCTTGGGGGAGAAGCTAGTTTTAGTGAAATGTTAGGCTGAATTTGCCACTTGTTTGGAGATTCCAGGACCTGACTGGGACTTTTTATGGTTGCTGCATACTTTGTTAGTTAACCACTATGTGCACGATGCTGCTTTTGATGTGTGTTATGTATATGTTTCTCAAAGTAATAATGGATTGTTGAAGTCTCAGGTTACTGGAAAATCTTCAACTTTTGCTTTTAAAAGATTATATGCAGGTGTTTATTTGCTATTTATTCGGTAATCCAACTTCAGTAATACTTAAAATAGAGAAAAAAATGTTTTTTATAATTCACAGTAGGGACACTTCTACCAAATCTTTGTACATTCTAACAAAGTCATATGGAATGTTTATATTTTACATGTTATCAAAATGCACTGCCAGCAGACTGTAAAAATAATACATTTTTTTTTGGAAAAGATACAAATTGTCTAACATTTTTCATGATGTTAAATTGTGGGTAATAAAGAGGCAGTTTGTATAATTTTTATAATAAATCTTTTGAAAAAAATGTATAAAAACCTCGTAAAATTCTTAAATTTTTTTCAATTATATTTGTACCACACAGTAAGCTGTGAGAGAGTAGTCTTTTAGCTATAAAAATACAATTCACGTTGGGAAAACAATTTATTCTTTATTTTAAAAAATCACTAAGTACAATTTAAGTGGTGAAGGAAATATATGGGGCAATGTGTTAAAATGTTTATCCTTTGTTTAGAAGGAAAATTGACTAACAGTGGATTAATTTGTGTGATTTCATTAGTATTTCAGGTGTGTTAAACTGAAGAAAAGTGGTACTAGTATAGAAAAAGGTGTTTTAAAAAGGTTCTGATTGATTATTAAAGGCTAATAATCAGCTAACATAGCAGCTAACTAGTGCTACAGGCCAGCTGAGTTTTGTAGAAAGTGGGATTGAAGAACAAAAATTGCTAGAATATTAAAACTGGGAAGGCTGACAAGTTTGGACCAAGCCACATCAGCACAAGAAGCAAGTTTTAAAAAATTAGAAGATAAGTAAAAAAGGATTGCATTTAGGGGTCCAGTTCTTACATCCACAGGTTTATTTAAAATAAAGAGTGTTTAAACATGTCACTGTGATCAGTGTTTGGCTATAGAAAAGTTCTCTCGGTAATAAACTTGTCTTGTGTTTGTTGTTGTTAAGTGCTGTCAAGTCGGTTCTGACTCATAACAACCCTGTATAGGGTTTCCAAGGAGCAGCTGGTGGGTTTGAACTACTGACCTGTGGTTTTGAATCCAATGCTGTTCTGTAGGGTTTCCAAGGAGCAGCTGGTGGGTTTGAACTACTGACCTGTGGTTTTGAGTCCAATGCTGTTCCTACAGTGCCAGAGTCTTAAGTCTTGTCAGGGCCCCTTTGAAAAAAAGGCCCATTCAAAACAGTGGCTTCTAAGGGAATCTGCTGGGCCAGTTAAATTCAAGGCAGACATCACCTTTGAAGGTAGTAGTGTCTTTTTGGGACTCCAAAGGGGATAATCTTGAGGCTTGGTGTGGCACTGTGGTTAATGTGCTGGACTGAAAAGTTTGTTTGAACTGCAAGGTCAGCGGTTAAAGCTCACCAGCTACTCCTTGGAAAGCCTTTACAGGGTCACTATGGGTAGGGATTGACTCAGTAGCACATACCAACAACAATCTCGATAGATATTTTCAAAGGATACAATGATTTGTTTAATAAATGTTTCTGTGACTTTGGATCAATCCTTTTAGACTTACCCTTGTATAAGTATTTGACTTGAATCCCACATTATTCATTCAGTAAGTATTTGTTGAGTTCGTATCTGCCAATCAATACTGCTTTGAACACTAGGAAGATGGTAAACAATACAGGCATACATGGTTCCTATAAGGGCTTATACTTTAATGGGACAGTTAAATACACCGAAGAGGCACAACATGCAATGGGGGAAATTTATAATGTGTAGGCAGGGTGAAATCTGGGAAGAATGCATTCAGGAAATACTTAAGCCAAGGCCTAGAAGATGAATAGGAGCAGCCAAACCAAGATGGGACTAAACTCATCTATCCTCATTATGGAGAGAGAGCCTTAAGAACTGCAAAGATAGAGTTCTCATCAACTGAGATGGGGAGACTCTGAAAAGGTTCTGGCAGTACAATTAAGAAGCTAGCTTTGGATATAAAGTTTGACATATCTCTGACATCTAAGTGATTGGAGTTAGGGGCGAGAAGTCTGTGCCAGAGTTGTAAATTTGGGCATCATGCATCCTACATATGGTATTTAAATTTGAGATTGGGTGAAATCACCACGGAAATGAGTATAGATCCAGGATAGAAATAAGAAATTAGTCCTCTGGGTCTCTCTGACTGAGGTGAAAGAGAGAGAAGAGCAAAGGAAGCAGAAGGAGCAACCAATGTGATAGGAGGAAAATGTCCTCTCACATGAAAATTCAAAGTTATTTTTTAAAACAAGTACTCGTTTCTCTATGACAATGCAAAAAGGTACTGCTCCACTAAAAAAATTAAGCTATAGGACTGTGATCTTTAATGTATCACTGACTTTACAAATAACAGTTTAGAAATCACCTTGATGTTAGAATGCATGAATTTGAACAGAAAACTTTTAATCTGAGAAGCTGTATATAATTGCATTTTAGCATGGTATTTCTATATATAAAAATGAAATATAGTTAACAGATGATAAAGTTTGCAGCATCAGCAATATGTTACTGGCCAATTACTAAGACATATGGATAGAGGCTGTTGTGGATACTAGTTTTATGGCAAGGCGACAAGAGGCCCTCAAAAACAAGAATAAGAAAGCATTGTTGTCAAATTAAATCGGATACTACCAAATTTTAACCACTCATCTTTATTGATAAAATACACTCCTGTGCAGTCTATATTGCCAGACATAAATAGAACCTTCTGTGTAAAACAAAAGGTAAGCAACAGAAAACTGTCACTACATAACAAAGTAAATGCCTTTAAAATAAACACCAAGACCTTAAAAATTATATCTAAGCAAGAAAACCAAGAATAAATTAACCCTAGTTTTTTTACTACAAAAATAATTATTAAGCAATGATTTATAATAGAGCTGCCTTAATGAAATGCCTCAAATTTAAACTCAACTGTGTGACTTACTTCTTACTTGGGATAAAAACTATTATAATGAATTCTGACATCAAATTAAGGGATATTTTCCCAAAAAGCCGTAAGAAAAGTTTAAAAACTCTCATTTATAAAATATCAAATAAAGGCCTTTGAATTAGAAAAAAAAAAAAATTTACTGTTTGGACCATTAGCCTGTTTCTATTCAATCAGGTCTGTCAATCTCTTTTACCCAAACTTAAGATAGAATAATTCTCAAGTGAAAAGTAGCTTTGAATATTAGCAATATATGAAATTATACATAAATTATATGAAGGAATATTTTTAAATATACATTGAAAGGTAGAATTTTCTATCTGCTAATTTTAGTATTTAATATAAATATGTTAAAGCTTATTTGACATATTCTATAGTCACAAAATAAGAAAACTTTAGGTTTCAGTTGATAGTAAACACATTTGTGTATTTGGTGGCCTTTTAAATTTTTTTATGTACTAGATATTTGATATTTTGTAAAATCACAAAATATACTTGTAAGTCCATAGATTTTCACTCCCTTTTGACTAAAGTTTGTATGAGACCAAATAGTTTCTTGAAATTAAAATTTACTTTTCACTGTTTGTATTAAAAAGCAATAATAACAAACAGTACAGGCCAGGGGAATTCCCAATTTATTTTGAAATTACCATATTTCATGTGTTATATATCACACATTTCCACTGTTAGCTAAATGAGCTACATAAAGATCAACCAAAGAAGAGAAAGATCTCATCTTCACTAATGACTTAGAACTAAAACTTTCTTTCAAAGGAGTAGTTTAACCTACTAAATATGTCTCTCAAAAGATCTTTCTTAGAAAGTAATATTCCTTCACTTTCATTCCTGAAATATTTCATACACTTAGCAAGTTATGAAAAATTATTAGCCAAGTATCAATTAAGTAAAATTAAATCACCTGTTTTGTTTATGCTGAGTACAAAACATTCTTGAAGCCTTTAAAGCGCTTTTGACAAAAATTTCAATTAATGGGAAGGTAGACATGCAGTCACTAAAAGCTGAAATCTTACATAGTTAATAAGCCATTTGTTAACTCTGACACCAAACAGGAGGGATAAGACTTAATATGAGGAACTTCATTCACAAAGCCATGGCATAATTTGTATTTTTAAAATGGGATAATTCTATTAATCTCTAACTAGAAATATTCAAATTTACCAAAATATCATCCAGAACTAGCCAAGAGTACTGCTGAAAGCTCTCTTTATACTTAGCAGTTACTGTAAAACCCTTCATCTGTTCATCAATTAGAAACAGCTTAATTTCTGCCTTTCAATTATGTTTTGTAAGTCAATGACCAATTAAAATAATGTATTTTTTTTGTTATCCTTTAAAAATGTCATTACCAGTATACTGTACATAGTATGTGCATGTATATACATATTATAAAAGCTTGATTGAGATTGATTTTTCTGTTATTTAGTCATACATTTAGTGGGCCAGTCCCAGTGACTGTTTGGAGCCAATGTAAGAAGCTCACATGCTTAGACACTCTTCAGCTCTTCCTTAGACTCAGGTCACTATTGGTCACTAATGCTGACAAAGACGTACTTTCCGATGTATCATCTTTCCTAAGGTTCAAAAATGATTCTCGAGTTATTTGAAGGACTTCTCTCAAACCTTTGTTTTCTTGCTAGAAGAAGGCAAACAAAAACAAAGATGCAGTCATCAAGATAGCCATGAAAAGAATGCACACAAATCTTAAGATAATGAAAAAACTGAAGGTGTGGCAAACAAAAATCAAGTTCTATGACAGTCAAATGTACTAAGAAATAGTAGGGACTTCAAAAAGTTAGTGGAAAATGGTATTAATATATAATGAAATTTTTCCACAAACTTTGAGGCCCCATTATATATGCAGTTGACAACTTGAATCCAGACAACTTTTTTTTAAGGAAGAGGGAATCATGTGTTCAACATCTTAAACCACTGTAAAGCCTTATTTATGCATTTGTAATTACAGATAAAACTTCAAAAATTGTTTATTGAAAACACATTAAAGAAATTAATAGCCATATTTATATTTAAATAAGTATGTAAAGTCAAGGAATTAATACCATCGGACTAGACCTTCTTCCCAGTTTATTACTTTCAGTACTTTGATTGATAGCATGGAATAAGCCATCTGGTTTGCTTTGTTCACTGGAATCTGAGAGCAGGAGAGCTTGCAGTAGAAGTTCTTGATATTTTTTAAGAAGTAGAGTTAACCAAATCTGGCATTGGTAAACAAGCTTGCCTTTATTTTTTTTTAGTTACTGTACAAAATTTACAGAAATTTAAAACTTTTAATAATTATTTTCTCCCACTGTCTACAATCCCATTTTTTTTAGTTTCAGTGCTACCGAACAGGGGTCACAAAACTATGGGTCCTACTTGGTGTTGTTAAGTGCCATCAAGTCAGTTTCAACTCCTAGCCACCCTGGCTGTATATAGGGTATCCACAGAGCAGCTGGTGAGTTTGAACCACTGACCTTGTGGTTAGCAGTCCAATGCTTACCCTACATCACTTTTAAGTTTTATTGGAACACAGCCATACCCATTCATTTATTATTGTCTATGGCTGTTTTTAAGGAGCTCTGGTAGCGTAATGGTTACGAGGTGGGCTGCTAATCTCAAGGTCAGCAGTTTGAAACTACCAGCTGTTCCGCGGGAGAAAGATGAGGTTTTCTGCTTCCATAAAGATTGGCAGCCTCAGAAACCCTGTACAGGGTTGCTATGGGTCAGAATCAACTCGACAGTGCTTAACGACAACAACGGCTATTTTTGTGTTACATCTATAAAAGTTGAGTTTTTGCAACAGAGACTTCGGTTTACAAACAGTATTTACTACCCGGATCCTTACTGTTAACCTCTACCTAAAAAATTGCTGAGATACTGTATGCTGAAAGAAAATCAAGTTTGGCCCTCTTACAACTAATTTTGCCATTATGGTTTCAAAATATAGCTTTTAAAGCACAGAAGTCTATTCTAATGGTTTTAGTTATTCAACAAGGACTTGTGCTTTTGCTATCACAAAATAAAAAAACAACAACATACTAGGGTAAATAAAAATGTATTGCTACTAGAGTTCCAGTTCATACATGTACGGAATTATTCCAAAAAAAGATTTGTTTAAACATGTCTCTGTTAACAGTGGAGGGCTGTAGACAAGTTTTCTCAGTAATACCCTTCCTTGTCTTAGTCTACTTGCTGTCGTCTGGATTAGGTGTTGTACAGTTGGTCCTGACTCGTAGCGACCCTGTACACAACAGAACAAAATACTGACCAGTCCTGTGCCAGCCTCAATTATTTTAGCCCACTGTTGCAACCACTATATCAGTCCTTATCATTGGGGACTTCTGCTTTTTTGCTGATACTCAAACTTTACCAAGCATGATGTCCTTCTCTAAGGACAAGTCCCTCTTGACAACATGTCCAAAGTACTTAAGATAAAGTCTTGGTACAGTAACTCTTTGTATTCTTTCCATTTTCTTTTGATGCTTCCTGCATCACTCAATATTTTGCTTACAGAATCCTCAACATGGCAACCCAATGCTTGAAATTTTTCTTCAGTTCTTTTAGATTGAGAAATACTGAGCATGTTCTTTCTGTTTGGTTCCAATTCCAGGTCTTTGCACACTGCATTATCATACTTGACTTTGTTTTCTGGAGCTGCCCTTTGAAATTTTCTGTTCAACTCTTTTACAAAAAAATTTTCTGATAATTTTTTTTCAGTCACTCTAGCATCTCTATATTCAAGAATCAGTTTCAGAGTCTATCCTGATACCCACTTTGATCTTTTCTTTCTTTACTGTCTTTTTAATGACCTTTTGCTTTCTTCTTGTATGATCTTTTTGATGTCATCCCACAATTCCTCTAGTCTTAAGTCATGAGTGCCTAATGCATCAAATCTGTTCTTAAGATGATCTCTAAATTAAGGTGGGATGTAGTCAAGGTCATATTTTGGTTCTTGTGGATTTGTTTTAATTTTATTCAGCTTCAATCTGAACTTGCATATGAGCAACTGATAGTCTCTGTTCCAGGTAGCCCCTGTCCTTGTTTTGGCTCTTCTTACAAATGTAGTCCATTTGATTCTTGTGTATTCCACCGGGTGAGGTCCAAGTGTATAGTTGCTGTTTATGTTATAGAAAGTTACTTGCAATGAATAAAGTCATTGGTCTTGCAAAATTCTATCATGTGACCTCTAGCATCATTTCTATTACCCATCCCATATTTTCAAACTACCAATCTTTCCTCTGTTTCCAACTTAGCAGTTGAAGATATCATGGCTTGGTTCAGGTGCATCTTAGTCCTCATAGTGATATCTTTGTTCTTTAACAATTTAAAGAGATCTTTTACAGCAGACTTACTAAATGCAACACAGCATTTGATTTCTTGACTGCTGCTTCCATGGGCACTGATTGTGAATTCAAGTAAAATGAAGCCTTTGGCAACTTTAATTTTTTCTCCATTTATCATGTTATTTATTGATCTACTTGTGAGGATTTTTGTTTTCTTTACATTGAGGTGCCATCCATACTGAAGGCTGTAGCCTTTAATCTTCGTCAGTTAAGTATTTCAAATCGCCTTTGCGTCCATCAAGCTAGGTTGTATTATCTGCATATTGCTGGTTGTTAATGAGTCTTTCTCCAATCCTGATGCCATGCTTTTTTTCATATAACCCAGTTTATCAGATTTTTGCTTAGCATATAGACTCAATAAGTATAGTGAAAGTACACAACCTAGTCACACACCTTTCCTGATTTTAAACCATTCAGTATCCTCTTGTTATGTTCGAATGTCTGTCTCTTGGTCATGTACAGGTTCCTCACGGGCACAATAAAGTGTTCTGGAATTTTCATTCTTTGCAATGTTATCCACAGTCAATTAAGTACAAGTAAACATCTTTCTGGTGTTCTCTGTTCAGCCAAGACCTGTATGATGTCAGCAATGATATCCTTTATTCCATATCATCTTCAGAATCTGGCTTAGATTTCTGGCAATTCTTTCAATACACTGCAGTTTTAAAATTTCAGCCTGAAGAAGTTGGTGGAACTCTTCAATTTCATCATCTTTGCCATGACTGGTATGTAATTGTGAATAATAGTTGTACTTAACTGGTCTTCCTGTAAGCATATGGATATTATTCTATTACAGACAGCACTGTACTTTAAGATAGATCTTAAAATGATCTTTTTGATGATGAATGTGATGCCATTCACCTTTGTCGTCCCTGGCGTAGTAAATCACATGATTATCTGACTCAAAATAGTTAATACCTGTCCATTTCAGGCAACAAATACCTACCATTACTGATCTTTATGTGCTCCATTTAATTTTTGGCTACTTCCAATTTTCTTAGATTCATATATTCTATGAATATATTCTATTTTCATATATTCTATGTTCCAATTATTAATGTCTGTTATAGCTGTTTTTCTCATTTTGATTAGTGTCCTATTAATAAATAAAGGCCCCGAAAGCTTTGCTCTATTCATGTTATTAAAGATCAACTCTCAGGAGGCAGCTCTTCACCAGTCATATTTTTTGTGTTTTCCAACCTAAGGGACTCATCTTCTCGCATTGTATCAGACAATGTTTTGCTGTTGTTCATAAAGTTTTCAGTGGCTAACCATTCAGAAGTGCTCTGCTTGTTTTTCAGTCTTAGTTTGGAAGCTCTGCTTAAAAGATATGCACCATGCGTGACCCTCATGGAAATTAAAATATCAATGGCATTATTTCCAGCATCTGACAAACTGACAGATGGAATGATGGTAATCTCCTTATTGGTGTTAAGAGACATCTGGTTGGTTCTGACTCACAGTGATCCTGTATAGTGTTTCCAAGGATCAGATGGTGGATTTGAAATGTTAACCTTTCCTTTAGCAGTTCAGCACTTTTTCTACAGCGTCACACCAGGACTCCTTAGGTTGCCTTGAAATAAAAAAGGTCCAATCAAAACAGTCTGAGAGGAACTGCTGGGCCAGTTAAATTTAAGGTAGAGAGGTCAGCTCAGAAGGTTATGGTGAATATTGGAAGATTACTCCAAAGGAGTAATCTTGATAGATTTTCTTAAAGGACACAAGATGATCATGGGACTTATTAGGAAGAATCTTTTAAAAATGTAAAACTGCAATGGTGAGAAAAAGGCCAGAAAAATTGCTGCCTTTATTTCTGTCATGACAATGGACTTACAATGGAGCAAGGACTGCTATATGAGAATTTTGTTGGAAAACCTTAATCCATCTACCCTACAGTCCTGATCTTGCCCCTTTAGACATCTTTTTGTTCACACAGCTCACAACTTTCAAAGGACACAGTCTCTCAAGGATGCCAAACTGCTGTTCTGATGTGATGTAAACTGGAGAGTGTGGAATGCTTTGGGGAAGAGTTAAGAGATGGGACCACCACCTTCAGAAGTGTATGGACCTAGATGGAGGAGATGTTGAGAAATAACAGGTTCTACATTTTGATAGTTTTATTTAATACAGTTTATATTATTTTGTAGAAATTCTTTTGAATTACCTTTGTATAAGACAAAAGTTGTACATTTTCGAGAGGAAAAGAGTGCACAAAGAATATAATTTGTGGACTAAAGTTATTTCTATGCATCACTATAATCTTTAATGGATTGAACAAATAAAAATATTTATAAAACTGAAAAAATACATTCACCTGACAAGATGAAGCAACATAGTATCAAATAAACCAGTTATCTCAATTATTTCTGATCTTAGACTCTTGTGTTATTATATAAACGGTCTTGCATTACATACCCATTATAAACTAGCATCCAGATTAAGAAAATGAACATTACAATTCCAGAGTATGTGTCTTTTTTTAAAATGGGGTACATTTTTCTGACATAAATCTTTGCACAGACTATTTTCATCTATATTTGCATTTAGAACTTACTTCAAGTTGGAATATTCGTTCTTGTTCCTTGCAACCCTGTTGCTCATCAATTTCAATGGCTTTCCTCATTACTGCTGCCATTTCAGTTATTTGGTCAACATGCGCTTGTAATTCCTGGAAAAAAAAAAAGGGTGGGGTGGGTGGGTGGTAGTTGCAAATCAGTGAAATATTAGTTTTTGGTTTTTTTTGAAAAATACCTGTGTTGCTACTTGCAATAAATGTAATAGTCTTACATCTTACAAGATATCCAGTAGATTGTCACATGAAAGTCAGTTGAACATTAATGTTCTCTTGAACAAAGATGTAAGAATGGATTAGAATTAAAGAGCATCATAATAAAACAGCCTAGTACACAAGAAAAGTACTAACGATCCTACTTCTCATTCCTTCCATTACAAGTGATCAGCAACTTTTTCTTTTTGTATTTACATTTACTTATTGAACAAGGTAACAGGAAAGATAAACTGTAGGCACACTAAATCTCTTTTCCTTCCGAAGTCTTCATGATTTACAGGTCTTCTCTGTATTGTCCATGCCTATAAATGAATCTGAATCAACCTAGAATTTGTTTAGGTTATAATTCTCTTTCAGAGCAAAAACTGTATCTTGTTTATATCTGCCTATTTTTTAGTGTTTGGCGCATGGTTGTCATCAAGTGCTATTGAATTGGTTCCAACTCATAGCAACCTTGTATATAGGGTTTTCTAGGAGTGACTGGTGGGTTTGAACTGCTTGACCTATCAGTTAGAAGGTCAAACCCACCACCAGTTTCTCTCAGAAACCCTATACAGGCTTGCTAGTTGGAAGTAACTCGATGGCAACACAACGCTGAATAAAATGTACAAATTTCTCTTATGTTTTAAAATATCAATTGGCTTTCTCTGTAAACAATTCAAAATCTAATCCCAGGATAATGCACATCTACATTTCTGTGATACTAGTAGCAGAGATTTCTTCCAGTGTCATTCCTGCATTCCTTTTTGCACAGCTGCAATGTGTTAGGCACTGTGCCAGGTAACAAACTGTTAAGATATATTCTCAAGGAGCTTACAGTCTAGTGAAAGAGACAAAATGTTTAAAATCAACAGAAAGTTGAGAATTATTTTCTCAGTAAACAGCTTCAACAGACTCCTGGCGTGGTGCTGTGGGTTAATGCACCAGACTGCAAAGTCAGTTTGAACCTCAAGGTCAGCATTTCAGGCTCACCAGCCACTCCTCAGAAACCCTGTACAGGGTGCTATGGGTTGGAACCTACTTGATGGCACTAACAACACTACAGACTACTAGTCACTAGCAATCAAGGGGGCTTAATAAAAGTCCATGGGAAAAAAATTTGATTCTGTTTTCCATGAACTTTTGAAACACACCTTTTTTTTTTTTGAAGCCCCCTTTTACGAAGGGTAAAACTTGAATAAAGAAGTCAAAACCTCCCCAAATAAACATAAGTCTATTAAATAGTAATGTTGATGTTAAGTGCTGTCGAGTAGGTTCCGAATCATAGTGACCCCACATAGGGTTTCCGAGGAGTGGCTGGTGAGTTTGAATCGCCAAATTTGTGATTCAAACAGTCCAAGTGATAATCCTACAGCATCACATCAGGACTCCTACATAGTTATATTTACTATTTGTGAGAAGGATTAAATGGAACCAAAAATAACAGGAAATTATTAAAGTACCGTAGAAATATGAGAAAAATCTGAACATCTTCAACAGACCATGCATTAACATCTTCTTAATCAACAAAAAGGCAAGCCCTTAGGCTAATGTTATTTTATGCTGACACCTATAGAATGCTAGTGTACAGGAAAACAGGACAGAAAAACAGGACAGTATTGGAGGTGCTATTTAAATTGAACTGAAATTAATACGAATTTTTAAAATAAACAAATTCAGGCCTTCAGTTGCACTACAAACATTGTGATTGTTCAGTAAATAATCGCACATGCATTTGGCTTCCACACTGGACTGTGCAGATACAGAGTATTTCCATCAGTGTAGATTATGGTAACATTATATCAAGAATTAGAGCATGTCAAGCATCTGCCATATTATGTAATGATTAAAAGTACCGAACTCCTTCTCACTATAAGAGGGGCCTAATCTATAATAGTTACAGGAAAAAATTGCAGCAGAGCAAAGTAAATTAGGGTAATGAGTAAAACTTTCTCAAATTAACCTATGGCACTGACCTAGGTTTAAAGACTATATTGGAAGCAAAGAATTCTTTGCATTCAAAATTGAGAAAAACAAGATAAAACTAATTTTTTTCAGGACAAGATCATCATGAGTAGGGAAACAAAAATTAACAAACCAAAACCCTTCCAAATAGAACAGTTAGTGATTCACTTACTACAAGCACCTCTTTAGACAGATTTAGTCTCTTGGTTTTCACTTGGTTTTGACAAATACAACATTCTTTTGATTTTATTTATTCCTTAATCTGGCTTGAGAAGGAAATTCAATGTAAAAAAATCAAACTGTTAAAATGTATCCCTCCCTTCCATCCACACCCCAAAAGTAGACTGTTTTATTTTGTGTACATTCTGATTTGCTTCCAAGTGCCTCCACTCCAGTCCGTGTTGAGGTGCTTCAAGGATGGGTCGAGATGTATCAAGGAAGAATCCTTCGGAGACGTTACGATGTACCATGTCAATCTGTAGTACAGAGTCATTATAATGTTAATACGGACATTATCCGTAGTTTAAAAACTGAATGTTAGTTCATGCGTGTTAGCCAAGTGTATGAAATGTTTGTTTTTTTAACATTTCCAAAAAGGTATCTGTTCAAAAATAGTGTAACAATGAAATATTTAACAGATAATTGAGTTTTTCTCAAACTCTACACATTTTTTTAATGCCCGCTAAAAGAGTCAAGGTGAGGGCAAAATTCTGTATTACTGTAGTCTCCAAGGTGTCTCGTACTCCAAAATGCTGCTATGTGTAAGTATGTTTGTTTTCTCTAAATGTGTTAAAAAATAATTTTCTGTTTAGGCATCAGAACACTCATTCCTAAGCACATTCTGGAATATCACACTTGGATGCCTTTATCATACAATTCTTTTCTCAACCACTTCTGTTTATTGCCCCCGCCCTCCCAATAACTAAGTTAAGGCTGGATTCAAATCTTGGACACTTTCCCATATTCTCCCCATTGATAAGTCATCTTATTTTCCCAATTTCATAACACAAGTCATATCTACATTTTAGAACTCATCACGTCCTACTTTATATTGTTGTTAAGTACTGTGGAGTCAGTTCCGACTCATAGTGACCCTGCACAGGGTTTTCAAGGCTGCAAATCTTTACGGGAGCAGAAAGCCTCATCTTTTCCCGTGGAACAGCTGGTAGTTTCGAACTGCTGACCTTGAGGTTCGCAGCCCAATTTGTACCCACTATGCTACCAGAGTATTACACATTTATATTTCATCTGTATCTTCCATTACACTGTAAGCTCCAAAGGCAGAGCAATGAAACTTATTCATTCATCTTATTATTACCCAGAATAACTAACCCTGTGTAAGTGTTTAATTGAGGCGAAGTGTCTCCTTTTTGGGAAAAATCAAAATCACAAACATTGATATGTATTAGTCAGAATTATTAACAAGTAACTAAACAGTCATTTTACAGAAGGCAGGGATCAACACTTACATGAAGAATTTAATCAACATAATAAAAAGAGATGATTTACAACCACTACAGAAAATGTACAACTTTGTTCACTAATAAAACATCTATGGTGAATGTTAAAATTTAGTAATGTTTTTAACAAAACATTTGCTATGTCAATCTGCTATCAGATAGGGTCAGCAAGCAGTAGAATCATAGTCTAAAAGTTTTTTAAAACCAGAGTATTCTCCCCTTCATATCTTAAAATTGTTATTCCTTATGTTATAAGGGTCTTTTAAAATTTCTTAATATTACATTTCTTTTACTAATAATTTTAAGTCAATGTTTATACCTTGAAAAAGCAGTCTTAGTTATATATTTATATTAAAATGCTTTTACGATGACCTCATTGCCAAGAGATAAAGTTTATGTTGAAAAGTTTTGCCACTTTAAATATCCAAGAATTTCCTTTAAGTTGTGCTAAATAGTGTTACTCGCACAATATTAAATCCGAATTTATTTTTTTCTTGGTTGACACAAATTATGCCTATTAATGTTTCTTAATTATTAATGCCATCTTATTAATGCCATCAAGTAGGTTCTGACTCATAGTGACCCTTTATAGAATTTCCAAGGAGTGGCTGGTGATCTTGAACCGCTGACCCTGCAGTTCAAACTGATTTTGCAGCCCAGTGTATTAATTCAAAGTGCCACACCAGGACTCTTAATATAGGTCACATAGTCACTTAATTTACCGAGTCTTAAATCTAACAGAATAAGTAAAAACATCTACTGGCATCACGACAGAAAAGATGTTTTATAGAATCTGAAATGTATTTGGATAACCACAAAAGATAAAAATGCCTTATATGTCACATACAATTTCTTAAATAGCATTAAAGTTGTAACTAATTATAGCTAGAGCTCATTACTTGCCAATACAGATAATGGCCTAGTTAGCATCACAATCTAAAAATTTTATTTCATTTCAGCAGTTAAAATTTAGTTTTAAAAGAAAATATGTATAGGAAAGATTTATGCCATTTGTCTTCACAGCAGTTGCCAGCAAATACAGAGACATACAGTTGACCCTTGAAAAATATGGGTTTGGACTGTACAGGTCCACTTATATGCAGATTAAACACACACACACACACACACACACACACACACACAAAACACAACAAAAAATGCCGTGACACCTATCATCTTCATGTGAGCAGCATCTCTCTCTCTCAAGTAAGTAGTGTATGGCAGTAAAAAGTGATTTCTTGTGGTTCTTGCGTATTATTCATTATGCAACACCATAAACCTTGAATAAAACCATGGGACATACATTAAGTACCACTAATGATACTAATAGATGGAATCCTGGTGTGGCGCTGTCGGTTAATGCGCCAGACTGCAAAGCCATTTGAACTGCAAGGTTGGCAGTTCAAGCTCACCAGCGGCTCCTCGGAAATCCTATACAGGATAGCTATGGGTCAGAACCGACTTGACGGCACTTCACAACAACAAGAATAACAATGATGCTAGTGGTGCTTCTAAGAAGCAGAGAAAAGTCAGGACATTGCAAGAAAAAGCTGAATAGCTTAAATGTTGCCCACCAAGTCAAGAGAAATGAATCAAACAAGGACTACTGTTAAGAAAGAGAGGGAAATTCATGAAGCTGCAGCTGCAGTTATGACAGCAGGTGCAAAAACCTTGCACTTTTTGGAAGATCTCTTTTTAGTTCACATTAAAAATGCAGTTTTTATATGGGTGCAGTGAATACTATATATAACATATAAAATGTGTTAATTGTTTATGTCAATTGTTATGTGCCGTGGAGTCAGTTCCGACTCATAGCGACTCTGTACAGGGTTTCTGAGGCTGTAAATCTTTACGGGAGCAGAAAGCCTCATCTTTCTCCCTCGGAACAGCTGGTAGTTTCGAACTGCTGACCTTGTGGTTTGCAGTCCGATTTACGCTACCAGAGCTCCTTGCGTTTATGTCAATAGTAGGTTATTAGTAGCTAAGCTTTTGGGAAGTCACAAGCTTAATGTGGACTTTTGACTGCATGGAGGTCAGCACTTCTAACCCCATGTTGTTCCAGGGTCAACCATATACAAAGGGCATGGGCAGAGGGACAAGAAGATCAAGAGCAAGAAAATCACCTTAGTATGGTTTTAAAATGATCTAACTAGTATTTGATGGAGGCAGAGGGAGCAAAAGTTTAATATTCTAGTTCTTTTCACTCTCCTCAACTCCATAATTTTCCCACTATGAACAACCATTTATAGTTTGGATGAATTCACCTCATTCAGAAAACAATCTTAAAAAATAAATCAACATTTAGTTAGTATTTTTTGTTTTTGCAACGATTTCAAAACACCTATTAAAAAAAATATTTCTTAAAATCAGACTTTACGCAAATGATTCTGAATTGAATAAATTCGTATTTCCCAAGTAAAGTTCATATATGAATATATATAAAAGCTACAAGAGGATTATGATAGAAGAATAAATCACAAAGAAAATATCACAAACAAGAATTGAAAAAAATAAGGAAAAACAGAAAAGATCATTTAAAAAGATATAACTTTAAACAGTAAGTTAAAATGGCATTACTAGACAACTGTGATTGTTTACCTTGGAGTGCTGCTCTTTTAGCTTCAGTATTATACCTGGATCATCTTTTTTGCTGGCCATTAGTAGTCTAAACATTTGTTCTCGGTATTTGCTCATTATAAGTTCCAAAGCAGACTGATGTTCTTCCAGGGATGTACGTAATTCTATCAAAAATAACATTATCAAACTTGTGTTAAAGGCACACAAATTTTCTCTTCCATATTAAATTAATTTCTAATAACAGCAACTTATAAATAGGGTATTTCAAAAAAGCAAAAACTGCAGCATAAAAATGTAGTCAAACAAAGGCCCCTTAAGGCCCTTACTAGTTTTTTAAATGACAATTTTAACTCCTTTTTTGTGAATAATTCCAACTAACATTTACTGAACAGCAATAAGAATCATACAATGTTCTTCTGTTATTAGGAATAACAGAATTCATTATTTCAGAAGACAATGAAACTCAATTTAGTGGAAAATTTATACATATATAATTATAATAAAATGTGGGGAAGAACAGTATGGAACTCTACAAAAATACACATAACAGAAATCTGTGGGGAGAAATTGCTGAAATCTTCACAGAGTATAATATTAAGATGATACTGAGTTGTTTTGAAAAACAACAATCTAAGTAAGGCGTAAAAAGATGTTTATGAGTTAGTTTGAAATGGTAAGAGCAAAGGGTTCACAGAAGAGGGCTAAGGGAAGAAGCAAGAAAGGAAGGCTGGAAATAGACTTTGAATCGCTTTGTATAAGGAAATAAGATATAACAAAGCTTCTTAGGAATTGGAATGTCTTGATTTTTGAAATGTATTTTTGAAAAACCAATCTGATGCCTGTGTTGAAGATGGACTGGAAAAGAGAATGGAATCAGAGAGAACAATTAAGAAAGTCCTAGCAAGAGTGTGAATAATTAAGCTGGGGAAAAAGCAGTGGGATTTATATAAAACTGAGTTATTTCACAGACAGCAACAACAGAACAAATTGGATATTGAGGATGAGAATCCAAGATGACACCAGGGCAGACAGACATTGATTTGTAGAACAAATAAAGAACAATAAATATGATTCTGGCATGTGGATAAGTACTGGGATTAATGTCAAAAGTTACTTGACATAGCTGGCTGTTTTCCCATTTTTTAAAATATCAATTGATCCTAAACGTGGCTTGTTCTAAATATACAGTTAATTTTATTTTTAAAAAGAAGTATTTTATATGAATAGTACAACTGCAGATTAAAGTTCCTCTTTGATTTACTATAAACAGTGACTACATGTCTTGCCTTTGTTCTCTTGTTGTAATTCTCTGATTTGTCTGTTTTCTTGCTGGATTCCCATAACTAATGTGGACCGTGGTCGGTGTCTTGCAACTTCATTAAGTTCTTGAATTTCTTCCTGGTACTAACAAAAAATTACAAAAGAACATTTTGGAAAAAATATTTGTAAGTCATCTATCTGATTAAGGTCTAGTATCCAGAATATATAAAAACTTTTAATAATAAAAATACAAATAACCCAATTAGAAAATGGTCAAAGCATCTCAACAGACATTTGTTCAAAGACGACAAGTGGTGGCAAGGTTGTAGAGTAACTGGAACCCTTACAGAACGCTGGTGGGAATGGCTGTAGCTGCTTTGGAAAAGAGTCTGGTAGCTCCTCAAAAAGTTAAACATACAGCTCCCATATAACCTTTCAGTCACACTCCTAGATATATACCCAAGAGCAGTGAAAACATATTTGTACAAAACCTTGTACGTGAATGTTAATAGTATCAATATCATAACAGTCAAAAAGTGAAAACTCAGGTGTCTATCAAATGATGAATGGATAAACAAAATATGGTATATCCATAAAATGGAATTGTTGATGTTGGTAAGTGCCATTGAGTCAGTCCCGACTCATAGCAACCCTGAACAGGGTTTCCAGGAATGACTGGTGAATTTGAACCGCTGACCTTGAGGTTGAGTGCTTTTCCTATGGTACCACACCAGGATTCCAAAAAATGAACAGTAAGCCATTTAAGAAAAAAATAACAAACGAGTACTCATGCTACAATATAGATAAGCCTTAAAAACTAATTACATTATCTGAAAGAAGCCAGACACAAAAGGTTACCTATTATATAATTCCATTTACCTGAAATATCCAGAATGGGCAAATCTATAGAGATAGAAAAACTAGAAATTGCCAGGGATCCTGGGGAGAGTGAATAGAGAGTATCTGCTAATCGATATGGGATTTTTTTTTTTTTTTGAGGGGAGATGAAATGTTCAAGAATCAGACAGTGGTTATTGTTATATAATTTTAGTTACACATTAAAAGCTACTGAATTGCAAAAGAGTAAATTTTATAGAACGTGAATTATATCTTAATAGTTGAAAAGAGTATTTGAAAACTGATTTAGCCTTCTGGTTTCTTTTTAAATTAATAGGAATCCTGGTGTGGCACCATAGGATAAGCACTTGACCTCACATTCGGTTTGAACCACTAGGTCAGCAGTTCAAACTTACCAGCCGCTCCTCGGAAACCCTTTACAGGGTCGCTATGACTCGGAACTGACTCGATGGTAGGTAACAACAACAATAACTTTAAAATTACACTTCTTTATTTTTAAGGCATTTCAATGAGCTAGTTAGAAATGTACTCATTTTAACATTCCTGGCTTTTATCATCAAATACTAAACTTCTTTTTTTCTTTATAATTTGATACCAGATATATCTTCATGGGAGACTGATTAAGCTAGACAGGCAAGGAGGAAGGTAATTTGCTTTGGGAAACACAGTTGTAAAACAAAAGTAGTACACTTCTTTCACTATTTCTAAGTGTCATTAAAAGCTGAATCCCAGGAATGCTTCCTTTTACAAAATGGATGAGTTTCAATAGAGTTAGCTGTGATATGTATTTTTCCCCACTGATTTATATCATAACCCCAGAGATTTTATAGTTCTCTTTTTTGTTCGTTTGGTTTTAATGAGAATCAAGTGATAGTTTACATGGGAGAACATCAGTTTTACACTCATCATTTCATTGCAATGATTACAATCTCCTCCGTGCATCATCATTCAACAGTATTTGTTTCTATTCTGTTGTTTTTTTTTATGTACACAAAAACACTCAGGAATATATACACTGATTTAAACCACCAAAGGGCACATTCTGCAAGCCTGCCTCCTGGCTGCTAGCACTCAGTCCCTCTTTCCAAGAGTTTAGAGTCCTCAGATGCTCTATTTCTCCAAGTCCTCATCTCTGCCTCTATCTCTAGTGTTGCTGCTTCTCTGGATAGGGTCCCACATTCAGCTTGTGCTCTTCTCCCTTGATGGTCCTAGGGTCCTCTGTTTCTGGACTGTAAGGAACTTCTACCTTTACTGTTGTGACAGTCACAATTAGTCATGATAACAATTATTCATTATTGAATCATAGGAATCTTATCCTCTTATCTTTTACCAGACCAGTCTAGACAAGATGAGAACTATTCAGTGGGGATTCCACCTTGCCCTGCACACTCAGAAACTAAACTCCCTCTTGAAAACTTGTAAGGCAGTCACTTCGTGTTTTTATAGGCCCCTGCCAACTCCACCTCCCCCTCCCCCCCAGTTTAGGTAGGCAATGTCTAAGTTGCTTGTCCCTATCAACCCTATGTACAGAGGGGATAGGATTGATACTTGATGTGAAGACTCCTTCCCTCTCAGTTGGTATTTTGAGCTACTACATCCATAGTATAGGTCAAGTTCATTAAATTGTAGCAATTTGTACTTGCTTCCTTTATCAAAAACTTTAAAAAAATTTTTTTCCTTTACTTGAATTCTGATCATAAAGCCATTGAAACAAAGCCAAATAGGTATTATGTACAAGTCTGTGCATGCTTGTGCATCTCCCCTCACTTCCTATCAGCTGGACTCTTCACTCTCAGCTCTAGTCCTCTGTGGCTATGTCCTTGTTCGGGGCTCAGGATTCCCCAGGTATCACCACCATGCTTCGGACCAAGCAGCCCTTCCTCTTTTCTCTCTCATCTCCAGATCGACAGGAGTCTATGGAACGTGGTCATACTCAGTCCATTTTTTCATTGCTGCCTTTTCCTCTCTTCTGCTCACCAGCAGACCAACATGGTCACCAGTAAGTTTACATGCCTGCTGGTGTGTTCTCTTTGAGTTTCAGTTTTGAAGGGGGTTTGGAGATTTTAGTTCTCTTAAAGAAGAAAACATTATCAGTGGAGGGTTTAAAATGCTAGCTAACCTTCATGGTCCACAGGAAAGTGTGAAGTACAACAATGAGTCAGCACAGCAAGAAGGGAACTCTCTTCTGTTCTTTTTTAACTGGCAGCAATAGGAAGCAAGCAGGGATGCAATAGTTGCATAAGGAGAAAACCAGATATCGTCTTGCATTGTTTTAAAAAACCTTATTTTGTTGTTAAACAGTATAACTTTATAAAGAAAAACAAACATTTCTATATTATAAAAATATCAAACAATGTCAACATTAGTAGACACTAGTAAAAGTAAGATCTAGCCTTAGTTAAATGTATCTCAACGCAACCCTGACACTGAGTGGATTCCAACACAGAATGACTTCATAGGACTGAGTAGAACTGCTCCATAGGGATTCTGACACTTTAAATCTTTACAGGAACAGACAGCCTCATCTTTCTCCCACAGTGACTGGTAGGACTGAACCGCAGACCTTTCAATTAGCAGTACAATGTTTGATCCACTGCACCATACCTAACAAATTAATTTATTTTTCTAAAATCAAATGCATTATCTGTTAGAAAATAAGTGGTCAAATGTGCAGATTTATATATATATGTGTGTGTGTGTATGAATATATATATATATATATTCATTCATACACTTGTAGGATAAGCACTGGAGTCCTGGTATGGCACTGCAATTTAATGTGTTGGACTACAAGGTTGGTTTGAACTGTGAGGTTGTCAGTTCAAGTTCACCAGCTGCTCCTTGGAAACCCTATACAGGGTCACTATGAGTCAGAACTGACTCAATGGCATATAACAACAACAGGATAAGCACCGGGTTGCTAACTGCAAGTCAGCAATTCAAACCCACCAGCTTCTCCTTGGAAGCCCTAAACAGTGTCGCTGTAAGTGGAACCAACTTGATGACATTTAACAACAACAACAACAACAACAACAACATATATACATGCACCTAAATGGCTCTGTGGGCCAATGCGCCAGACTGCAAAGCCATTTGAACTGCAAGGTCGGCGGTTCAAGCTCACCAGTAGCTCCTCGGAAACCCTATACAGGGTCGCTATGGGTCGGAACCGACTCGCCGGCACTTAACAACAACAAACATATATATCAAGAAGCTCTGGTAGTGTAGTGGTTACAAGTAGAGCTGCTAACCTCGAGATCAGCAGCTCAAAACTACCAGTTGTTCCATGGGAGAAAGATGAGGCTTTCTGCTCCTGTAAAGATTTCCAGCCTTAGAAACTGTATGCAGGATCACTTTACTATGAGTCGGAACCAACTCCACAGCATACCACCACCACACATATATATCACTTGGACCAAGAAAATAGTGTCCTAAGGTTGCTATGGGTCGGTACCAACTCGATGGCACCTAACAACAAGTGTAAAACTGATATACACAAGGAATGCTACTTTTAAATTTTAGAATACAGAAAACAGAATAATTAAGCGAAAGTTTATGGTCCAAAGCAATATATTAATATCAATGACTACTTTTATTAAATGGAACAAACAAGAAAGAAAAATCAAACCTGCTTCATTGCTTCTACTCGCTTATTGAGAGCTGTGGTTTGTTCAATGAGAGATTCTGCTGCATCATCATGATCTCTCAGTCTTTCAACAAGAGCTTTGGCATCAGCAAGTGCCTTCTCAATTGTGCAACTCATTTCTAACGGAATACCTATAGTTAAATTAAAATCCACATTCAAAACAAAGTCAACATTTCATCTTATTGTAATTTCATGTCAACACAAATATACTTCTTAAACTACATTTGTTACAGTACATAAGACTATTACAGAAGTCTTTTATTTAGGTTAGCAGCATTCAAAACTGTTGAACTAAAAATAAAGATGAAAACACCAGACTTATGAAAAGACTTACACAGTATTCGTTTAATCAGCTGAAGCAAAGAGAACAGTGTTGGTATCAGAGAGGAACAAGAGTTAGTGCTCGATGGCAAGAATGCACACACACAATCCAGCCAGACAACACAGTATGAAATACAAAATGGAATAGTATTTTAGCCATCGTGAGAACTGTGGTTTTTCAAAAGCGGACTCTTTCAATAAACTGGCAATATAAACATACTATTACCAGTACATATTCCTAAACCATAGAAAGGCAACTTTATAGAATCCATTTGGAAATGATTTAAAACATCCTTTATGAATGCTTAGTCCCTAATGTTTTACTCATCCCTAAGACGGAAGATTGTTTTAAAGGGTTCCTACACCCCTGACTTGTAGAAACACAAAACTATAGTGACGGACAAGAGTTCAGTGGTTGTCAGGAATTAAGAGCAGAAAAGGATATGATTACAAACTGTTCTGAATCCTTATTATGTTGTTATATGAAAATGTAAAATTCATAAAACTGTATTACAAAAAAGGATAATTTTATAGCATACTAATTAGAAAACATTCCCTGTTGTCAAGGTTTTGCCTTTGTGTACTATCTTTTAATTCATTTCACTTTTATTTTCATATATGGTATAAGGTAGACATCTAACTATATTTTCTTCTTTTGTATGAGACAATCATTTGACCCAGTACCATTTGTTAGTGTATTTTTCCACCACTGATTTTTAACATCGTACTTGTCACATGTTGTTTCCATAAATGCATGGCTGTGTTTCTGGCCTCTCTATCTCTATTTTTACATTATTAATATTACACTGCCTCAGATTACTATGACTATAAAATAAACTCTTGCTATCTTACTAATCGAGCTTCTAATCTCACAGTCAGCAGTTTGAAACTACTAGCTGTTCCATGGCAGAAAGATGAGGCTGTCTGCTCCCATAAAGATTAACAGCCTCGGAAACCATGTACAGGGTCGCTATGAGTTGGAACCAACTCCACGGCATATAACAACAACACCACCTGTTATGGCAAGTTGCCCGTTTTTCCTTCAAAACTGTTTTACTCATTCTTTGCTTTCTCTAGAACCTAATTCAATGCAAACAGATCTCTAGAGTACCGTGGAATAAAATCCAATTGTTACTAATTTTAATTCAAACTGATAGCAGCATTCTTAACATAAGGACTACTGCCTTGCATACTGTCTTTTGGTTGGCACAGTTACCTTTTGGCCACAAAAAAAGCTGTTACTTTCATTTTACCAATGAGGAAATAGATGTAGGAATTTCAAATATAAGGAGTCAAATGACAGGGCCACACAGTAAGAAAGGAGGCAAGCTGGCCCCAGAAAGACTCCTAATCTCCAAGCTAGTGCTCTATTTATGAGTCAAATTAGAGCTCTATTGGTTGTTTTTACCTACAAAAACCATCTTCATCTCCCTATCCTACACTCCACCCATGTCACCCTCCAGATGGTAAAACAAAGCAAATTCTCTAACCCTACTCCATCTTGGGAGTTCCATATTATAAAAATCGCAGTTCAGATTAGCCACAGAAAATAAAGTATTAAATAAACAAATACTTCAAATGTTTCCATATAACTAACAAAAGTCTAGCATCCACTTTAATTAGGCATTACAGCTAATCCAAAATAAATCGAATGTTTACTGATAGGCTTTTTGAAATTACAATTAACACAAAAAAATTCCTCTCTCTATACTGCATAATGAAATATTACTATCAAAATAACGATATGTAGAATTTGCTTTGTAATTATAAAAAGATACTCAAGGAATAGAATTCTAAACAACAAAGTTCCTCAAAGTATACTTTTATTAGTTTCCAAAGAGCAGTGACACAGTTTTTAAGACTCTACATGTTCATTTCCTGCATGTGAAACTCCAAAGTATTTAAATGTTTTATAATATGCAAAGACAAAGTAAAGTATTACAATGAAATGTGCAAAGGCCTGTAGTTAGAAAATGAAAAGGGAAGAACATGGTAGGCTTTTCTTAAGCTTATAGAACTGTACAGAAAATTCAAACCTTGAATTGCCATATTGAAGGATTCTATGGGCAAAATAGAGTCCTGGTGTAGCACAGTGGGTTGGGTTAATGCATTGGACTGCAAAGTCAGTTTGCAAATCAAGGTTAGCAGTTCAGGCTCACCATCTGCACCTCAGAAACCCTATACAGGGTCATTATGGGTCGGAACCAACTCAATGGCACTTAATGACCACAACAAATGGGTAAAATATAGGAAGCATCAAAAGAAGATGTGCACTGAACATACTACTGGCCAAAAACAAGGCTCCAGGAATGAACAGAATACTGATTGATATATGATTCAAAAAATCAATGCTGAAAGTCTAGAAGCACTCACTCATCTATGTCCAGAAATTTGTAAGATAGTTACATGGCCAATTGATTGACAGAGATCCATATCTGTACCCATTTTAAAGAAAAGTGATCCACAAAAATGTGAAAATTATCAAATCATATCATTAATATCATACCGAAGTAAAATTTTGCTAAATATAGTTCAGGGTGTTTTATTTCACCACACTTATTTAATCTATGTTGTTGTTGTTACGTGCCGTGGAGTCGGTTCTGACTCATAGCGACCCTGTACAGGGTTTCCGAGGCTGTTAATCTTTATGGGAGCAGAATGCCTCATCTTTCTCCCGCGGAGCAGCTGGTAGTTTCGAACTGCTAACCTTGTGGTTCGCAGCCCGATTCGTAACCACTATGTTACCAGAGCTCCTTATTTAATCTATACGTGGAGTAAATAATCTGAGAAGCCAGACAATATATAGAAGAATGTGGCATAAGGATTGGAGGAAAACTTATAAAGACCCTTCAATATGCAGATGACACAACTTTGTTTGATGAAAGCGCAGACTTGAATACTTACTGATGGATTCAATACACTTTCCACCTCAACATAAAGAAAACAAAAACTCTCACAACTGGACCAATAAGCAACATGATGAGAACTGGGAGAAAAGACTGATACTATCAAAGATTTCACTGTACTTGGAATACAATCAATGCCCATAGAAGCAGCAGTCAAGAAACCAAATAGACTTCTTTATTTAAAAGCAAAGAGATCACTTTAAGGACTAAGGTGGGCCTGACCCAAACTGTGGTATTTTCAATTGCCTCACATTCATGTGAAATCTGGACAATAAATAAGGAAAATGGAAAAAAAATAGAAACCTTTGAATTGTAGTGTCGATGAAGAAAACTGAATGTACCATGGACTGTCAAAAAAATAAACTATCTTGGAAGTACAGTCAGAATGTCCTGTAGAAGCAAGAATGGTAAGACTTCGTCTTTTGTACCCTACACATGTTAAGGGACCAGTTCCTGGAGAAGCACTTCACGGTTGATAAAATAGAGGGTCAGCAAGAAAAGGAAGATACCCAACGAAGTGGACACAGTGGCTGCAACAAAGGACTCAGAATAATCGGGAGGATAGTGCAGGACTGGGCTGTGTTTCATACTGTTGTACACGGGGTAGCTATGAGTTGCAACCAACTCAATGACACATGGCAACAACAACAAAAAACAAAATTCATTTATTTTACCATCTGTTTTGAAATCCATCCTGGTTTTCCTCTTATTTTTGGTCCAAGGGAAAGACAGTAGAGTGGGAGGAAGATTGCTTTTTAAACTTTGACAAATTTTAATTAAAAAAACAACAGACAATACAGTAAAAAAAGGAGTACTCTGAATTTATCTACCTATGCTTATATTGCCTTTCTTAATGACTCACAGTGCATTTACCTACATTATTTTTTATAAAGAGACTCAATTTATAAGTTGTTTTATTTTTTAATTAAAGAAGGGCTCTTGTTTTTGCTGCATTGGCTATATTCTTGCCTAATTTACAACCCAAGCAGTAGGATTCCTGGCAGAACATTCTGCTGATGATAAAGGAGAAACCACCACCCACACAAGACAGCAACTGCCAGCTGCTTAATTTTATATTTTGGTTAAGAAAAATTTAAAAAAATTCAAGTCACATTTTCTTTTATCCACAGCTTTTATACGCACTGCCAACTGAGTTGGTTCCAACTCATAGCGACCCTTGGTAAGGCTTCCAAGGCTAGAAATCGGTATGAGAGCAGAAAATCTCTTTCTCCCACAAAGGAGCAGGAACCTTGAGGTTAGCAGCCACATGTATAACCCATTATGTCACCAGGGCTCCACTGATTTTATAGCAACTTAAAATCTAAAGAGATTAAAATATGCATGTAAACTATTTATAAAAAGCAAGCACTGTATACAGATAATACCACTGCATGTATTTGAAACCAGAGAATTTTCACTCTCCTTGAAAATGGTGAAATGAACACATTTGCAGCTTTACTAATAAAGTGGGTTTTTAAAGTTGGAAGAAAAAAATGTGGAAGAAAGGGCACCAGAGGATTAAAAAAAAAAAAAAAAAATTATACATGCTCCCTTAAACTTGTGGCTAAATATATACATAGGAGTGTGTTCAAACAGGTATGACAACTCAGGAAGGAACTAACTCAAACTACATCAGCTTTATGAGCCAAGGAATCATTAAAGGTACATGAATGCACATTCACCAAGCACTGTCCATAGTCTAAAATATCTTCTCCAGTTTTCAACTATACATTCCCTACCATTTTCTGTTGGGCTGTTAAGCTCACGGTCAGCAGTTCAAAACTACCAGCGGTTCTACGAGAGAAAGATGAGGCTTTCTGCTCCCGTAAAGATTTACAGCCCCGGAACGCAGGGTCACTGAATTGGAACTGATTCCATAGCAAATAACCA